ATCTTTTGAGTTTACACACTTGAAAATATACATTTCGTCGTTGTACATTTCACGCCCTGCGTCAATTTGATAGTTGACCTAGTCTTTGTTTATTATAAGGGATGAATGAATAAAACGCCTGGTTCAGAGCAGGCTAAATTTTAGGCAATTTTATGCAGGAAATTAGGCGGGAATTTCCAGTTTCCGTCGTTTCCGGTTTCGGTTGTTTCCGGATTTGGTCGTTTCGGTTTCCGTTCTTTACAGAGACCCCTTTTGACAGTTCCTTGTAAAAAAAAACATTATACAGACAGACAGACAGGATATATAATAGTGTTATGCGCTTCCATTATTATTAATAGTGTTATGGTATATATAATAGTGTTGTTATGGTATACATAATAATGTTATGTTTCCATTGTTAATAGTATTAACAGTCCTTGGCTCTTGTGCATTATATTTATTATCAATTATTAATAGTGTTATTCACTGTGAGTCATTCAAGGTTATTACTTTAGAAGTGACCACACTTGACTTTGTGTCTAAGAATATTGCAAAATCCGAAAATTAACCTTAGTGACAATCGCATAATAGCTAAATGTGTGGAGGTAACCCTGCAGGCCACATTATACACATATTGTCGGAGAAATAAGCCGTGGAATGACCCATAATTACTTAATTACTATTAGCTACTATTGTTTGGAGTGTTTCATTACAGAGAACTGTTTTCTTAATTTTAGAGAATTAGAATATTGTTGTAACATATATGCATGCGATTGTTACAATAAAATACGATTTTCATTGTTTAAAAATTATAATAGTGTTATGTTTCCATTATAGTGTTATTTAGTTTTGAATTATCCACGGATTATAAACAGATTTTGAACAACGAACCCAAAGTTTTGGCCGTTAGGCAGCACTTCCTTGCGTTAGTAACTTCTAGTCCCCGAGCCGGCGGCGCGAAGCGCCGTGCGAGGGTACTAATTCCCCCCGGCTATTTACACCCGGGGAAACGAAACCATTAGCCAAGTCTAAAGTTCATCAAATATCGCGGGCGTGACCAACGAACCTTGAGTGGGTGGTCATCCTCACTGATCTCAAAAATATGGCGGACTGTCATGGATAGCGAACACTGATTGGTCAAATTTAAAATTTGTTGTTGTATGACAAATGACGACTTCAACTGACAGATACTTCATGAAAATAATTTGCTTTTTACACTACAGTATTTTGTACGTTTGCAAAAAACTTTGACAGCTTTCAAAGCAATTTGTTCTATAAAAAGTTTAATAAAACAATTACGGTATTAAATACCAATTGACATGGGCGTACCGGAAGGAAAAAATTAGGGGTGCGGAAAGAAAATTGCCCGACTTTTCGTAAAATTGCCCGACTTTTCGTGATTGTGCCCGACTAGTAGCAAAAAATTTTTCCCGGAAAGATTATTTTGGCGACCTCCCCCCCCGTCGCCAAAAAAATTTCGGTCAGTGTACCATTTAAGGGGTCAATCTGCAACTTTTACAATCACTGATAACTTGATAATAATTTAAACCTGTCAAGTTGTAGTTTAAATAGAGAATAATACATGGGTACACGAAATACCAGATTTATTTCGAGTGTTGAACATGAGTGTGCAGCGAGCAAGTGAGCGCAGCGAACGAGTGAGATTTCATGTTCAACACGAAAAATAAATCTGGTATTTCCAACCACCCATGTATTTTTCTGTTTATTACATAAAGGACAGTCTTAAATGAAAAGCGATAATTTTTACAGAAAAGCGATAATTGAAAAGGCAATAATTTTCACATGTGAGATTATCATGAATAATTTCACATCTGAGATTATCATTTTTATCAGTGCTTGAAATCTCTGTAAAACACTATACTTTATATAATAAAAATTCATAAATTTGAACCATGCTAAAGCATGACAACAGCAAAATGCTCTATAGTATGATGCACAATATTTTGGGAGGTGAAATACACGAACAATAAATCAGAGAGTGTTTGCTTGGAACTCACTGGGGTGGGGCAACACCCCTGATAATTGCTCATGAGGAATTTCAGGTAGATTTCCAGTGCACTTTTAGGTAAATTTAAGTAGATTTGCAGAAGATTTTCAGGGGAATTCAGGTAATTCTCAGGACATGAGAAAGTGAATTTGGAAAACAACTGTATTTTCGGAAAAATTATTATATGTCCTGAAAAAAAATTGCACATCTGGAAACATTTTGGTAACCACCCCCCCATCCCCTCTATCTAACCTCACACCCCCCCTCAGACGAACTGCTCGCAACGGCACTGAGTATACATCTTTTGAAAACAGGCGAGGGGTTATTGCATGCATGTATTTCTAGTAGTTATATATTGCGTGTCTATTGAGAACAAAGGAACGATAGCATATCATGCTTTGATATATTACGTGATTTCTTTAACTGAATCAAGCAACATCATATTATATTGATATATTGCGTGTAGGTTTCTTAATTAAGAGAGGAACATCAACATATTATACTGATCGATATATGATATATTGCGTGGTTTGTTGAAAACGAACTAAACTGCATAATATATTAGTGATATATTGCGTGTCTGTTGAGAACGAAGCAACAACATATATTATTAATATAAGGATCTCCCATTCCCGTGTTATATACGTGGTCTCTTGAGAACGAAGCAACAACATTTTACTATATTTATTGGTATAAGAAATGTCTATTGACTTGGATATTATATTTCCATTGGATCCAGTTGACAGGTAATTTTCCAATGGACAGGATATTTTGTCCATTGGATCCAATGGACAGTTAAAATTCCATTGGACAATAATTGGCCCATAATCATGTCCACATGGGGTCTTGCAACCTGATAATTACGTAATAGTAAAAACGCGTAAGATCTTATCCGGTTGATGCATTGTTACGATCGGCAACCTTCACCTGGTCTCTTATTCGGTTGATGCATAGTTCAGATTGATCCATTGCTGGCCAATGGACATTCCATTTGTCCATTGGATCCAATGGACACGCAAATGTCCAATGGAAAATTGGAGGTCCATTTGATCCATTTGACAAATGGAATGTCCAATGGCCTTTTGATTTTTCCATCGGACGTTGTCTGCATTATCCTTTTGCGTAATTCTTCGAGCGCCAGTGCAACAGATTTGGCACCGTCTTTTCCGTATTTACCTCGTTTCCGTCATCTTCTTCTCGTCCGCAAAGAACAAAATTTCCAGTTTGTGAGTTCAATTATTTTCATAATTGCTTCACTGCCAATGGTTAACGGGCAGCCTAAGAATTGTCCAATTGTCCCATTTCCTTTCGTGATCCTCCCGTCTCGTCAATCGATTGTGGCTGACAATCCTTTGCTCATGTACTTTATCCTGTACACGATTTGACCTGGACATTTAAGAACGTTCTATGGGCCCAGTTTATTCAGCTTCGAGATGTAGTTCTTTCCAATTTCCTTTATTTAGCAAACAGCGTTGATCTGCCTGACCATAATATATTCGATTTTCAAACTCATTAATAAAGGTATATGGTTATTCCTTAATCAATGGGGTGCCTCAGGGAAATATGAAAAATCATATGGAGTCATAAGCCTCCACTTAGTTTTTCACCCTGCTCGGTTTCCTTTGTTCTTATCGGGGAATATATTCCCTGTGGTAATCCCCTCTAATATTCATCTGCAATGTCTTTGCAGCACAAAAAATGAGAAAAAAACAACATCGCGAAGGCAATATGGCATTAAGAATTATTTCTATTCTGACTCATAAAGGCGACCTCGCAATGTGAAAAATAAGTACGTTATTTTGAGGCACCTCGGGGATATGTGTTTATTCACCTCGGCGCTGCCGCGCCTCGCTGAATAAATCACATATCCCCTATAATAAATAACCTATACTTAGGCCGCATGCTATTAACCAGCGTAGTATAGTCGACTCGTAACTCATTTAATATTTCTCTATTTAGATTTGATTGTGGTTTTGATTGATTTAATATCTATTCTCGACATGCTGTCAAAAGGTAACGAGAAAGAGAACTACAACTAGATTATGGGAATTATTAATGTTGCTGTATGTGAAGGTCTCGGGGAGATATTCAAACAGGAATGGGACAAAACTATATTTCGGTACAACAAAAGGCATGTGGAATGACTCTCCTAAATCTGGTAATGAATTGTATATATGGAAAGCAAAAGGCGGCATGCTAGACCTTATTTAAATTTTTATCAGTATGGAAAAAGAAGTGACTGGGATTGCTCTGCTCTGTTTGATGCAATTCTATATTCTAACGCGATCAAGAAGCACTTGAATCCACATGAGTCCCACAAGGTTGATGAATTGTGGAAACTTCGAAACGAACTTCCCATACAATTGGGCCACAACACAAAATCCCTGATGTTGATTTTGAGAAAGCTTTTAAAAAGGTACAGAGCACCTTCAAAGTGCTCAAACTATCTACAGCAGATGTTGAGAAAATTTTAAATTCTTTCAAGGCTAAATTCATAACTAGATTTCGGAAAATTACGTATCTTTGCCTCAGACTATTTATTACTGGGTTACTTTCCAGCGCATCTTATTATTGGTTTACGCACCCCATGACAACGAAACCAGTTTTCCGTTTCCGTGTCCTTCCGTCAACGCGATACTTGAAGAATTGATTGCTAGGTTAGTAGGACAGCGATATGGCACAAATATCTCCGGAAGTTGGTCTGACAACACCTCTTTTGTTATGACTTTAAAGGGCAGATCAATGCATGGTATCTTGGAATCGTCTGCAATTTTCGCACGTCGCCTGGATTGCACTGCAAATAAGCATTGCAAAAATTTTGAAAAACTTAAAAAATAAATGCACGTGGATGCTGATGGCTGATAATGTTGTAAAGCTGAGTAAAATATCTTCATTTCTGCCTGAACTGGAAGACGAAGACTGGCAAGGTGGCCAAGTGTTAATTACCACACAAGACATGTCATCTGTTCCAGCAAACAGTTCTTTGACTGTTAATATTTGAATTAGTCTTTGTATGGATCTAGCAGAATCAAGCGAGTTTCTTACAGATCTATCTGGACTTGTTGAAGATCCAGTTTTATTGACCAAAGTAACAAAGGAATTGGATTATCAAGCTCTTGCCTTGGCCTCCGCTGCATTTTGCGTCAACCAACTTCGAGAAACTAAAGCATCCTCGCAATTTTCTTGGAAGGATTATTTGAGGAAACGCCATGAAGACAGACGCAATCTTACCGAAATGAAACTAACCAAAGTAAATCAGGCATATTCGTTTACCATGTCGACAGCTGTTTTATTGGCTGTCGAGACCTTTGCAGAGGCCGACTATGTTTTAAAACATGCGTTTACTTTCCAGAAATTTTGATTCCAGATTCAATCAAAATCAAACAAGAGATTCATGAACATGGGGAATTTTTATTGTCAAAGAACTACCTAATTTTAGCGTTGAAAATAGTAACTAGTGGACATGATGAGGCTAATAAGGATCTTAAAGATATTTCCTATACTTCTTTCCCAAAAATTGGTCACATCTTTTTAAACTTAGGAAATGTGGAAGCCAACCTTCGGAGCATGACCAAAGTAAAAAAATATCATGTACGGGCGCTGGAAATTTTTAAGGCACAATATGGTCATTCCTCATGAAATTGTTGCAAGATCGCTTATCAATCTTGTAGGTCTTGCTTGCTCAAACCCAAACGAATGCAGTAATGGTGTAATGCACGCGGAATCATCCTTTAAAATTGATGAACGACCGAAATCAAGGGCATTTACTACATGAACCTAGAGAAGCAGGAACATATCCTACGTAACTTTGGAAAAGCTAAGAAATATTACTTTCAGGCATTGGAGACCATCCGGTTCAAAGTGAAATGTGTAAGCAGAAACGGTTCAGTAGCCGTTGTTACAAATATAGCGATCATATTCCAAAGTCTTGGAATCATACATTGGGGTCTTGATGACTTTGAAGAAAGTAAACGTTATTTCGAACTGTCCATCGAGGCATACCTAACCGCTAATGGACTAAACCATCTTGGTCTTGTAGATTCGTATTACAACTTGGGCCTTATTCATTTTGAATTAGAGGAATTACCGAAAGCTGAGGATAGTTTTAGACGTGCTCTTGAAATCCACTCTAAACAGTTTGGACCATCTCATAAAATGATTGCCATGGTTACTCGAAAACTTGCAGGTGTACTAGAAGAGGCAGGTCAGTCAAACGAAGCAGCGCAAGAAAGAGTTTGACCTTCATGGCCATATATTTGGTTAATTAATCTTTGAAGAAAGAAACAGTTGATAAACAATAATTCATGACACAATTATCGGACAAGTTGAAGCAAAATATCAGTGGCAAGAAGATTAATCGTTTGTTGATGCCGAATGCTTGAGATAGCCGCGAGTTCAGTAATCGTTTCATAATTCACTCTCTCATTCTCATACCAATGTACAATTTCAAAGATTCACAAGCCAGTTCAATGACAAATGTTCCCAATATTAGCCACAATTGATCGGCTTTAGATGCATCTTCCAATGTTGTTTCTGTTACTCGCAAAGCACATTATTTTAATTAATCACGTACTTACAACGTAGTTTTTGCCGCTTTTTTGCATTTTTGACCAAACGTTTGCATGGAAGAATCCTGTTTTCAAACTAATATCTGTTTTCTATGTATCCCATGAATTTCAAAATATTGCAATTTGGAATTTTTGGATTTATTTTTTGTCTTTATTCGTACACAAAATCAATAAGCTAAGAGATTTATTATTAACAATAAATAATTAATTTGGAGGACTTGTTGGAAATAAGTATCAGGATAGCAAAGAAGCATTCCTTTAAATTAAGATGTCTCCTGGAGTATGAAGGAGTTGAACTTCTAAACTTTGTGATTAATTCTACGTGTATAAAAATAACAAACGTCAATCATTAATCTTGATGTTAAAAGTGAAATACGTTTATTTCCAAGAATTAGCTGAAACTTTCCCAAATGTTTTGTAGAATATAATGTTATTACATGAAAAATAATTGTTTCTAAGTTTTGATAAATTTCACTGTCGTAAGCTTTGTTCTTCATAGTTGTTGTCTTTTGTTTCTGAGGTTTGACTCTTACCTGCATACTGACTGACTCTTGAAAATACGAGCAACTTTTTCTATGCTAACTAGACGTTGATGATTGGCAACAGTGAGAACCAATCATCAGCAACAAGAAGATGACGTAACTAAAACTTTGTTGACAATGCTCAAAACAAGGTGTTGTCGTAACTGATCAGTTTTTTATGCTCACATTTGGAAAACTAAATCTAGCTAGCTTTATTTAAGATTGGCAAATGATTGAGAAATCAGGAAGTATATACTTCCTGGATATATTTTTTGTTTCATAAATTGAAGAAAACTAGTTGGCAACTATGCCGGAAGTTGATCATACAAACATTATGATCATAGTGCCATTCAAATCGCGGTAATAAACCCTATTTCATGCGGCTACGAAGAAATATGAGACTTCTATGTAAATTTAGGAACAATTTTGTAAATGTCAACGCGGTCAGCTGTGTTGCCAGAGGGCTAAAATCTCCGATTGCATGCATGCTGCTGCATTGAAACCGCATTATGTAATTGATATATGACGTTTTATATGCTACGCCACCCGTGTGCGTCACGTGAAGTCTGTTGCGTTCCGAACGTTTGTTCCGACTACTCTGAAATTTTCAATATAAATTCTCTTTTTTCTGGGCTACACTCTGGTATAATAAAAAGTTGCCGTATTCCCTATGGTTTGAAAGATATTCCAACAAGTCAGTGAGGAAACGGAGGTAAATTTAAAGATTTGGAAACATATTTGTTCGCGAGTTTGTTAAGTTGGCGTGTGTAATATTTTGGTGGAAAGAAAACATCTCTTTCAATGACTTAATTCCTGGGCTTTCCAACGATGTATTTTAACGTTAGAAGAGGTAAATATTCGCTGAATCCGAAATCGGAATATAACATTTTGACATTTTATCTCCTGACGAGCATCGGAAGAGTTTTAATTACATTAAACAGCAAAACCAAACAATGTTCCATAACAATTTGAATTAAAAATCAGGATGAACAATCTATAGCTCGATGCAATTTCTGTTAAATTGAGTCCAATCCAGAATAGAATTAGCGTTATTCTTTGTATTAGGGCCTGGAGGTACGAGGAAGTATAAACACGGCTTTCGTATTTCAGAAAATTTGTGAAAGTCTGTCAATGCTCGCAGATTTTCTGTTAATAAGTTTCAACTTGGCATCACTCTATGTGAAAAGTTGTTAATATTGCCTCGTAACATACAGTGACAAGATATGTCCACTTTAGATGGCGGGGGTCGTTTGATGTTTAACAATTACGCTTTAGTGATTTGAAATTAGGCCCCCCCCCCCCAGGACATAGCGAGGAATTAACAAAATTTAGCGGGGATTTAACACTATTTAACAACGTGCTATGCCCCGGAGGGCGGTGGAATTAACAACTTTTTTTATAACCGGGGAATTGACCCGGGATTTAACAGCCGCTATATATAAATACACTGGGATAACTGGGGACTTAAAATGACCGCATATGGTCGTAAAAATGAAAATGGCGACTGGCGAGAAACCATTGCGAAAAACTTCCTCGACAGGTACGTGCGTTTGAAATTTATATTTTTACTTAATCCTAAGCTATCCGCTGCCATTAATATTCAATAAGTATTAGGCATCGCCTTTTCCATTGTTTGGATATATTTGGCATTGTTTACATTTTATATTTACATATTTATTTACATTTTCATATCGATATTTTGATATGCATGACCAGACATTGTCAATACAATACTTGACGGAAATTTAATCTGGAAGTTGCGGAAGACAGGTAATTCAAATGCATGCATGATGCGGAATTTGTCTTGTTTAGGTATACTAAAGCCTGGCCGTACGGGAGTTTTAACAGACCAGTTTGCCCCAGGGGCGGGGGATTTAATTTAATTTTTATTGCTATCGTGCGGTACCGGAAGTCTGTAAGCGTGCTCATAGCCAATCGACGACAGCGTATAGATGAAATGACGTAATGATACTCATGGCGGCTTACTGAAATATGTTATCAAAATGGCGGCTTACTGAATGGCACTAAAACGAAGGGAAATTTGTGAATTTACGATTAAAATTAAACATCAAATGCAGTCAAAACAACGTCATTTTACTAGTTTGAATATGGCAAATGTCGATAGTTCATTTTTGGCAAGCATTTGAAGGGTTTCATCATTTAATACGCAGTGGAATTTTCGACCAGAAAATTTTTGACTAATGGCATTGAGAATACTATTATGAAACTATGAAAGTAATGATTCTTCCACATGTTGCCGTTGTAGCTGTATATCGAGTTGTAAGTGTTGATGTTTATGTACTTCTCAATTTAGCATTTTCATTGGTGATTATTCAACAAGAACATCATATAACTGAATATCATCTTTGTGAAGTTATGGCCGGTACTAGTTTCTGTAAGTTGAATATATTTCCGCCGTTTTATTTTTCTTTCATCTGACATACTATAAATCTAACTTTATCGGACTTAATTTAAATTTTTACAAGCTACTGAATATTGATTGAAGCCCTTGGCAACAGTGCAATCACCATGAGCAGATACATGTACGCTTAGCGTACCTATTTTTTAACACTTGGTTGTGCTAAATTCCCCGCTATGTCCCGGGGGTGGGGGGGGGGCGTGATTTCAAATGACTGCCGCAAATGACTGCTCCCCCCTATTGCAGGGCACGGTATGCAGAAACACTGGTATAATCCCTGTCGTTAGCGCTAATACTCGCAAGATCCCTGTGAGAATTACTAACAACCGTTCAAAAACCGTCGTTAACTACATTAATAATCATAGACAACTGAAATTAGTCAGTACTTCAATACATGACCAGGCTATGAACGGAAACAACATATCAAGATTACCGAGTTTTCTTCTTATAAATGCTCGCTCACTGTTACCCAAAATAGACGAGCTATCCCTCTTACTATCAATACATTCTATAGAGTTTATTGCTGTAACTGAAACGTGGCTCAAAGATACTGTTCCTGAGCAACTAATTTACCTAAATAATTACAACATTTTTCGCAATGATAGATCTTACAGCCGTGGTGGGGGTGTCTGCGCTTTCATCTCGACAAATATCCCAGCTAAAAGAAGAATGGACCTTAAAAACCCCTTTCATGAATGCTTATGGTTATGGCTACGACCCCACCGCCTCCCAAGACACCTAACTGGATTAATCTGCTGTGTCCTATATAACCCGCCTGATACACCAGTCAATGAGCAAAAGGAATTAACGGCCTATCTTATCGATCAGATTGACCGAGTTAGATGTACCCACCCCGACTGCGGTGTTGTCTTACTCGGTGATTTCAACAATTTAGATATCAGCGATCTCCTGTGCCATCACAATCTTACACAAATAGTGGACACCCCAACGCGTGAAGGTAACATCTTGGATCTAATTGTTACTAATCTAGATGCCTTGTATTCTAAGCCTGTGATTATAGCACCGCTCGGCTCATCAGATCACAACATTGTTAAATGGTCCGCGAAAACTAACGTTTTAAGAACAGATAATAAAACAATTAAGAAAAACATACGTTCCTTCCCCCATGTCGGCACGTGCAGCTTTTGGAAGATGGTGCTGCTCACGTGAGTGGTTCTCTGATGCCGAAAGCAAAAACTCTGCGACCGCCCTAGCGTCCTCCTTTACCAACGACTTAAATTCTGCTGTTGATAGGTTATTCCCGTCTAAGGTTATTAGAATTCATAACTCTGACAAACCATGGATGACGCCTGCATTAAAAAAACTGATTTATCAAAGGCAAAAAGCCTTTCATTCTGGTAACCTTGACCTCTGGCGTCACTATAGACTTAAAGTCCGAAACGAGATAGGAGTGAAAAAGCGTGCATATTATACGAACAAGGTACAACACCTAAAATCCAGTGACTCCAGAAAATGGTGGGACTGTGTTAACCAGATGTCCGGGAAAAAAAGATCTGCAACCAATAACATTAAGATCGTTAAGAATGGTACCACTATATCTGGTAAAGATCTCGCCCAATCACTTAACACCTATTTCTTAAGCGTGAGTAATGACCTACCACCACTGAATCCTCTCCTGCTACCTGCCTTTCTCCCTGCACCAAGGCCTGTACCAAAAATTTTCCCTGACGAAGTTTGCACTAAGATGCTCAATACAAAAGTTTCCAAATCCAGCGGTCCTGACAATATTCCTAACCGGACTATTAAGGATTTCGCGTACGAATTGGCCGAACCTGTATGTCACATCTTTAATACATCTCTGTCCACTGGTGAATTTCCTAACATATGGAAAGATGCATTAATTACACAAATTCCTAAAGCGCCATCCGTATCCTGTGAGGAGGAGTTGCGCCCAATCTCCCTTACAGCCTCTTTGTCTAAAATTCTTGAGGACTTTGTGGTCAATTGGATGGTGGATGACGTGAAACATAAAATCAACCCGCAACAATTTGGTTGCCTTAAAGGAACCTCTACAACGTTTTGCTTGATCGATATGATCAACAATTGGCTGAGAACATTGGATGATAAATCGAGCTATCTGCGGATCGTTTTCCTCGATTTCAGTAAAGCGTTCGACCGCATCGACCATAATATCCTGGTCCCAAAGTTGCTGGCCCTTGGCGTCAGATTGTCGCTTATTCCATGGATATGCAGCTTTCTCTCAAATCGCCGTCAATCGGTAAAGATCGACAATTTCCAATCTGATTGGGGCATCAATAACGCAGGTGTCCCTCAAGGAACCAAATTGGGCCTTATTTTGTTCATAATTATGATCAACGATCTTGAACTGGCATCCTCTAGCACTGACCATTGGAAATACGTGGATGACGTAACAATATCGGAGTCCTTAAAGAAAAATGAAGTTTCAGTCCTACAATCTGATCTTAATTTAACACAATTGAAAGATGGACTGTTAATAACAACATGAAATTGAACGGAAAGAAATGCAAAGAAATGATAGTGAGTTTCGTCCGTAGCGAGAATGACATCCCCCGACTCTTCATTGATGGTTTACCTCTAGACTTAGTACCTTCTTTCAAAATTTTGGGCTTAACCATGAACAATAAATTGAAATGCGAAGATAACACTGAAGCGTTAGTTAAAAAGGCCTCAAATCGCTTATACATTATTCGTGTCCTACAGCGCTGTGGTCTTCCCCCCAATGACCTCATACTAGTCTACTTTTCTATGGTGCGCTCTATCTTAGAATATGCCTGTCCTGTCTGGCACACCATGTTACCAAAGTGTTTGGGGGATAAAATTGAAAAAGTGCAAAAAATAGCTTTCCGTATTATTTATCCGACAACAGATTACGAAGATGCTCTCAACATCGCTAAATGCAAGCGCCTTGTCGACAGACGTCAAGAGCTATGTGCTAAATTAAAACATTCAAAAAGATATTAAAACCCGATGCTCACCTCAACCACCTCTTACCCCCACTCCGTGAAGAATCGCATGAACTGGACTTAAGAAACAATTCTAACTTCACATTAACTAAATGCAGAACGGAACGTTTTAAAACTAGTTTTATACCAGCAATGACTGCTAATTGTAATAGTAAATAATTTGTAGTATTAAATTTGTAGTATTTGTAGTGTCAACTGTACATATACGATATATTTATATTTATATTATTTGATATTCATCTTTTATTATGTTTCTGTAAGCATATTGCAATTCACCTTCGGGTGCCAAAATGTGTTTCTTAATAAACCTTTAATAATAATAATAATGATTACCGGTGAGTATTCACCTGGACGAAGTCGAGGTGAATATTCACCGTAATCATTGAGCTTGAGGCGAATAATTGTTTTAGTATAAATTTTTAATGAATAAAACAAAATTTGCAGATATCAGTTCAATTAAAATTCAGAAATAAAACTTTTTTTGCCTGTTCACTTATAGTGTTGCAGTGTTTCTTTTACGCACACACTTTCAAAATGGCTCCTTGTGTGACTTTATTGCTTTATTACAAAGTTGTTTTTCTCGATTCTGCTTGGAATATAAACACAATAACGGAATGACTCTTTCACCAGACTAAGAATCAAAAATAGTTTCTGTTTAGCAGTAATTTCTTGAGGAAATTGCTGAGAAATTTGGTAAAATGAAATGTAAAACTAAATCGTTCGAAATAAAGTATTGTTAACACTTTCTACTTTACAAGTTTCGAAAACACAATACAGCGGTACAAAACAAAATTGTTTTAAAAAGAATATCACGGCTTTTCCCAATAGTCTGGACGTTTTTGCTAATTGTTTGAAGCGAATGTTTCGGAGTTTTAAATAAGTTTTAAATTGTCCCTGAATATGTTTGACACAGTAAAATAATAAAGAAATCCTACCTTTCAAGTTAAATACAACGTTCCTTCGTTTTCTGGGACGATATTTTCAATATTTTGTCGATTTTGAAACCAAACTTGCCGATTCGTTCTTTTTGAAAAGCATTATTTACTAGTCTGCTAGCAAATTATGTCTCAGACTTACTAGTCAACAAGCCAATCAGAACGCGCGAAAGCTAATTTGATATGCAAAATTTATACTAATTACATTTAGTATAAATTTTGCATATCAAATGAGCTTTCGCGCGTTCTGATTGGCTAGTTGACTAGTAAATCTGACGCATTATTCACTATTTGGGTAGTGAATAATGCTTTTCAAAAAGAATGACTCGGCAAATTTGGTTTCAAAATCGACAAAATATTGAAAAAATCGTCCCTAGAAAACGAAAGAAGCACAAAATGTTGTATTTAATTAACTTGAAAGGTAGGATTCCTTTATTATTTTACTGTGTCAAACATATTCACGGACAATTTAAAACTTATTTAAAACCGGAGTTTTTGTTTTCAAACAAATTGCAAAAAGTATCGCGACTGTTCAATGGGAAAAATTTGCCGTGATATTCTTTTAAATCCATTTTGTTTTGTATCCTATAGATTTCTAAATTTGTACGATACTATTTCTTTTGATATGTCATGTTTTCATTGTTCTGTATGGCGTTCTGATCGCTGTATTATGCTTTCGAAACTTGTAAAGTAAAAAGTGTTAATAAAACTTTATTTCGAACGATACAGTTTTACATTTCATTATACCAAATTTCTCAGCCATTTCTTGAAAAAATTATTGCTAAACAGAAACTATTTTTTAATTGTGGTGAAAAAGTCATGCGTCATTGTATTTATATTCTAAGCAGAAATTGAGAAAAACATCTTTGTAACAAAGCAATAAAGTCGCACATGCATGTACGAGAAGCCATTTTGAAAGCTTGCGTGTACAAGAAACACTGCAACACTGTTAGTGACAGTAACCGTGAACAGGCCGAAAACAGATTTATTTCTGAATTTTAATTGAACTAATATTTGGATATTTTGTTTTGTTCATTAAAAATTTATACTAAAACAATTATTCGCCTCAGGGTCACTGATTACGGTGAATATTCACCGGTAATCACTTCGCCTTCGGCGAATAATTGTTAATTATTTAATAAAAATGAGTTTAGTCAATATTCATTTCTTGAATTTTTCAGCGTAATTTGAACGCAGTAAAAAATTTATTCAAATGCTATGCAAGTATAGTCCAGTTGCCACCACATAGACCATCGCTGCGGCTTTCCACGGTAACATCTTTGCCAAAGTTGTAGGTGCTGAGTACTTTTGAGAGTTGCAGCGTGTTGTGCTTATTTCTCATGATGGCATCTCGTTTGGGTAGTGGTGTGTTGATGGTGAGGTCGTAATTGATGGAGCCGAGGCCAGCACGTCGCATGCGTTCGTGGTCCTTTGCAGAAATGTCATGATATTTGTCAAATACTAAGACTTTCTTGCCTGGACGAGATGATAATCTGGTCTTGATAGACTCCACTATTATCGATGCATCTCCCCTGCATGGCCAGACGATGCGGTAGAGTAGTTGGCTCACATCAACTATGGTGAGATCAGGTGGACATGGTCGCGCTGTCTGTGCACAGAGTTTGTGAGCCAGTGGTGCCTTGCTCCCTTTTCGCAAGCAGCCATACTCGTCGATGAGAGAAGGAGGTATGGGGCACAACTCATACTGAAAGATGGGTGCTAACTCCATCTGTCGCTGCTGTCCAATGGTCAACAGTCTAACGAAGATTGTTTCCAGGTCAAATATCGTCTTGTCGCCCACTTTCACACCTTTCTTTATGTTTTCCATGGTCTTGAGAGGACTTGAAATTGTAGCATGAAATCCAGAGGGAAGAGATGCCCTGAACTCCGAAACCATCTTTTTTCCAATGCTGACTGATTCTGCAACATTGATCTGGGACTCTAGGGGAGCAAAGCTACCGTTTGCGATGTTATATAGGTGTGGCGATTGATTCTCTAACGGATGTGACATTTTAGATAGCTCAATTGAGATTCTTCGTCGATCATCGGCATCCATTTCTCTCCGCTTCTGTCCTTCCTCCTTGTGACTTGGAACATTTCTTGTTTCACTTGCATCAGCAGGATATAAATGCTGCATGGTATCAGAGATGTAGGCAGTGATGGGAAACGAATCGATCCATTCAACAACCATCTCTGGAGAAAGGGTCATACCTTTCAGTCCACCTTTACCGATTCTAATGGCAGTTTGCTCGCCAAACTGGTCAGAACTCACACCATTCCAGATTCCCTCCTGATGACGGCACACAAAGGCACCTGATATCAACTATGCTTTGGCCATCGGTGGCAGCAAATAGTGCATTTCAAGGAGGTGGCCGGTGGGTGAGGTAACGGGCGTAGTTGTGGTAGCCAGCGACAAAGAAGTAAGGGAGCATACGTTCAAGTGTTAGCTGCTGCAGATGAAAATCTCCCTCTCTTTCACTACGAAGTAGTTGATGGATGAGCATAGTTGGAATGAGTAGGTTATCAATCCATAACTTGCCAGTTGGGTGCTGCCGACAGACATCAAGGTAGTTACTCAAATTTTGAAATGTCGTGGGACCATTGTTGAGTAAGTAGCTCTGAAGAATGGAAGTTGAAACCATCCGGTATGCTCTCATAGACCTAACCCAAGACTTTCCATTAATAATTCCTGTTAGCCCTCCGAATGCTGAGCTAATGAGAGTCTCAATTCCCGATCCAAGCATGAGCTTTCCAATGCAACCACAGAAGGACTGAACAGTATGCATGATTCCAGGCCTTAGAATGACGTTTTTGAAGCGATCAACATCGTTCCATTTGATTTGGCAGGACACGATGTAGAGCTGTAAATCAACAGAAATGTGGGCATATGTCATGCCCATGTCAGTCAATGACTTCTTGAGGTACTCCAGGGACGTCAGCACTGTGTCAGGATGAGAAGCTTTAGTGTCAATGAGAGGTCCAAACATGTAAGTACTGGCAGGTTTCTTCTCACTTTCATGATTGCGTGACTCGAGATTGTTGAACCCGCTCCACTCCATCTCTTCACTCTGTGTGTTAAGTGTGTTAAGCCACTTAATATCCTTCTCTTGTGCAGTAACAAGACTTGTCTGTCAAACCATGCAAAGATAATGCCAACAGATCTACTTAGCCACATGAACTGATGGAGAATCGGTGCGTTGTTTCCGAGAAAACGAACAGCTGATTTCCGAAATCTTAGCACCTCATTGTAAGTGGATATGAATCCATGCTCATGAAGTAGCTTAATGAGTTCGGAACTGCCATACCGATGCTGAAGTTTTACGCCCAATCCTAGTGTTGTTTGATTTCTTGTACCTGTAATGTGACTTTGAATTGACTGGCTCAGACTGAGCGATTTCTTGGTAACTTCACCACCAGAAACTAAATCCGAAATCAATGTCAACAAAGTGGGACTGGTTGCCTTGATTGTGTTAGCTCGTGTAAACTCAGATAAGTCGTAATTAGCGCTGTTATACTTGACTGATCGTGCCTCACGCTTGATTTTCCTCAATAGAGAATCACTGCTTTTCTCATCCGTTTCAACCACCTGGACTACCTTGAGAGTTTTAGCAATAGACTCACGGTAACCAACAAGGGTAGCACACCCATCTGCCCGAATAACAAGTACATCTTTATCAATGCAGTCAGTCAACTTTTTAAACATCTCGCGTCGTGATAGTTTGCCTCCTAGATCAGAGTATAGGCAATGCAGTTCAACGCTATTCCAGATTTTATACCTGTTTCCGTTCAAGAACTCAATGACCTGCTTAAGGGCGTTATCATCTACGTTTCCAGTTGGTAAGTCGGCATATTTGGGAATTTTCATAAAACTGTTGTAGCAGCGAACATGATATTTGCACTCGGCAGAAGGTAAGTCAGAAACAAAACCAATGTGTAACTTGACCCTTCTAGCTATATCGTCATTACGTTGCTCAGCTACCTCAAGAATAACATCTTTCATAGATTGAAGTGGATTATGTTCTTTATCATAACGTTCATGCGTCATGCATTCACGAAAACGGTCCCATCTATCTGGGTGTTTATCATCTTTTGGTAAACATTCATCACCACAGAATATGCAATCGCGTTTGTAGCAAAATGCACCATTATCATCTGCTTGAGCTTGAAATGACCTTGTAGCCACCTTAACACATTCTCCTTCAGCCTTTCGTTTTAGCGAGTTTTTAACTCGGTTAATTTTTTCTTTCAATGTATAAATACAGTAGCAACCTTTGTGGCAAACTATGCTCGCGGCATTACCATCAACATCGATGATGTCCTGCAGCTTAGCCTTTGTATCCACATCTCCACGGGAATGAGCACACGAGATTAGTTTGTGGATGCCTCTCTCGGTGAATCTCTTCTCCTCACCACCCCCATGACAAACTGGGAGAAAACACCTTGAGCCATCCATAACTGAAGTCACAAAAAAGTGTGAATCGTGTATGTTATCGTATATACCTGTATGCATTACACGTTTCATTGTGTCCGATATTTTGTTTTAACTAATTTAACTCGAAAAAAGCTTCGGTGAGCCTCAGTTTTTATGTTATAGAAACTTTTCGTATGGCAAAATTAATTAATTAAGCGTTTTGTTTGCACTTAAAAAACACTAAATGTTTTGTTTCACAAATTGAAAAAAAATACTGTAAGTGTTATTGTATTATATGAGCTCTACATTAGGTTTTTTTAAATAAGTAAAATCAGTTCATACACTCATGTCCATTCAAACATTCAGGATAAACTTACCTTATTTTAGTAGACATACAGTTCTGTAAACAATGTATAAGCCGGAAGCAAGTAAAAATCGCTTTGATGCCTAAACTGCCAGTGTTTGTAAAGAAGGAGTAATCAATTTACACTTTATGCGATGTGGACAGCGGTATCTACATCAATCCCATTAAGTACTTCATCTATCCTACATTATTTCCATTATTTCCTTTTGTTGAAAATAATTCTGATTATTACGTTTATGTAACTTTTTACAGAATTCATCTGTAAAATTACTTTGCAATTGACCTTAAGAGCCTGCCTAGATAGCTTATAAAAACAGATTAAAATTTATTGTTTGAGGTTAAACTAAATATATTATACTTAATGGCCTAAAATGGCTTTGACCTTGACCTTTTAAAGCATATTGACCCTGGAATAAAAACAATTAAGATCAGAAATCGATTCCTGATATCAATGTTATCTAAAAATGGGATATTTTTTAGTTTTTATTACTTTTAAGTTGATTGGTGAAGACATTCTTTTCTACCCTTTTCATGGTGGCCATCTTGGATTTTTTAAATCGGCCATCTTGGATTCAAGCCAACCACCAGAGTTCCCCAAAGTTGCCACTCCGGCAACCAAGCTAATGTTGTTCTATAGACTCATGTTATTATAAAACCACAAAAAAACAATACACTTCTCACAACAACTAGGTTATTATAGGAATCATATACAGTGGCAACTGGACTAGTAGGTTAATCTTGGTGTAAATTAATGTAAGCTGGAGTTAGACACAGCTGTCTTACCTAATTATACAATTAAGGCCATGGATGAGGCAATTTTTGCGCGCAAATTGCAACGTATATAGAGTAATGCTACGTACGTTAAAAACAACAACAACAGAAAATCTTCAGTGAGTATGGTCTGTATGGACAGATATTTTTTCTTCCTATTCATGAGTGAAATGAGGTAAAATATGAGTGCGAAGTAAAATTCGAGGCAAGTTCTCAATATTTACTACCAATTCCTTTTACATAACATGCATGGCTCTGCGCCAGAATTGCATTGAAAGTTGCAGCAAATTAAAATTTCCCTATTCAGGCCGTATTCTGTGGCACGATATCATTCAATTCCGTTGCCATGGTTCGGGCACTACTTTAAAACAAGATAAATAATTAGGATAAATCATACAAAGTCCAAATCCGCTTTTTGGCACTTCTCAAAACCTGCAGTTTTCGAGTATTTCTCCTTCGAAAATTCAAGAAATCAACATCTTTTGCAATCAATCGCCGCCATTTTTGTTCAGGATACTTGGCGTAATAAACACTATAAATGGCAATTTTTGCGGGCTCACACTCGTTTTACATGAAGTTTCCAGCTTAGCATGTGTAAACATGGCGTCTTCTGACTCATGTTTAATTCATTTTGATGGGGGAAAAGGCCCACTTACAAGTTTTAGTACGGTTTCGTGTCGTAGAATTTGGCTAATGCTAGACAGGGACGTACTAACGCAATGTTGCTCAAAGAAGTTTGCAATTTGTTAGCGACAGCATGGAAAGTAGCACGGTTTTATCGAATATGCAAATTTCTCTTATCATCGAGGTTGTTACTTAGCATTCTGCATTCACAAATAGCAGTATGATCAAACGAGCTCAAGTGCATTGTCAGAATACGGACAGAGAAAGTGTACCTAAGTACCTTCATCCCCTCGTATCAATATTAATAATGATGAACACGCCTGACAAAAATGCATGCCAAAGCGCTAACGTGCTTCAATTTCTTTAATTTTCATCCTGTTTCTACAAAATTTCGCATAGACATAGAACATGTCATTCTTAGAAATCGTATGTTTTTTGTTTTTCGAATTGCTACATTTTTTGCGGGAAAATGACGTCACAAACTTGCCGCTAAAAATTAACAGTTAGCTATTGTTAATTTTATGCACTTATTCGGTGGCCGACATTAAGAGAGTCTTAAAACTGAAGTCTGTTTCGAAATACAACCATTCCTTGCGAAGATATCATGACTCAAATTTCTTCTAGTTTTAGTAACAAAATGGCCGATTTTTCGACATATGTACCGGTATATCTTCACGAGAAATAGTCGTATTTAGAAACAGAGTTCAGTTTTCTGACTCTCTCAATGTCGTCTACCGAATAAGTGCATAAAATTAGCAATAGCTAACTGTTAATTTTTTAGCAGCAAGTTTGTGACGTCATTTTCCCGCCAAAAATGTAGCAATTCGAAAAACAAAGAGCATACGATTTGTAAGAATGACATGTTCTAGCTCTATGCATAATTTTGTAGAAACAGGATGAAAATTAAAGAAATTGAAGCACGTTAGCGCTTTGGCATGCATTTTTGTCAGGCGTGGAAGAAACGGAATCAGATGAAACTCCACCTGGCACCTGTAAAGATAATGCTGAGATCTACGCTGTGTTTGCTGTTATTTGCTTCTCACATTCATTAACTTTCGATAGTTTTATTTCTTATAGTATAATTCGTATAATATAAACTCATAACATGTCTATACTCTGCCTCTAAAATCCGTGTCCTACACCTATATTTCGCGCCCTTTTCCTTCCTTCCCAGTATCCCCTGTCCGAGCAAATATACTTAAATATTAATGTAAACAGTAAATGTCCAACATCTCCTCTTTTCTGAAAGTTGTTTTTTTTCTTTATAAATATACCGTATATATACCGCGTTCCCTTATGCGTCTATTCCTAGCCTGTCAGGTTTTTTAACTAACCGTCCACTACGGGTTTTGCTTGTAGAACTTGTTTCGGTACTTGTTTCATTGTGTTCTAAGTGTGCTGGTTGAAGGTTTTCTTGGGCGAATCATTGTCAGTAGGTACAGAAACGTGCTCTTCCGCTTCGGGCATGTCTGACATCTCTTCAACTGCGTTGTCACTACCGAATTCTGCACGTAACCTTGATCGTCGGATGAATTTTCTGTTTCTAGTATAGACACACCCGTTGCATTGGACTTCATATGATCTTATCTCGGCTTTGCGTACAACTATCCCTCTCTTCCATTTCTCTTCGCCGATTCGGGTTGGCTGTAGTCTCATCACTTCTCCTTTCCGCAACGGGCTGAGCTCTTTTGCACCACGATCGTGGTATTTCTTTTGGAGCTGTTGTCTTTGTTGGATGCGTTTGTTTGCTTGCGGATTTATCTTCGGTTGAAGCAACTTCTCCGAGACGGGCAAGGGAGTCTTTGTACGGCGGTTAAACAGTCGTTGTGCGGGGCTTGTTTCATGGGTTGTTTGGGGGGTGTTTCGGTGGGCAAGAAGGGCAGGGTACATGTTATCGTTTGATGATTTGCATGTTCGAATTATTCGTCTGGCTTGCTTGACGGCAGATTCGGCTTTGCCGTTGGATTGGTGGTGATAGGGACTGGTCGTTATATGCTCAAATTGGTACTTCATAGAGAAGTCTCGGAAGTCATCACTGATAAATTGTGGGCCGTTGTCTGTCATGAGAGTATTTGGAATACCAAACCTGGCGAAATGGCTTTAGTTTCTTTATGACTGCCAGTGATGTCAATTGTTCAAGGCGGTCAACTTCGAAGAAGTTCAAGTGGTAGTCCACTGTTACTAAATACGATTTCTTTTCAAATTCAAAAATATCACAACCGATTTTTGCCCATGGTATTTCATGCGGGATGAAAGATTCTTTCGGCTGCTTGGAATTGAATGTGTCACAGGTGATGCAATGTGAGATGTGGTCTTTCAATTCTTGGTTCAGGTGTGGCCAGTAGACGGTTTCTCTGGCTCGCCGACTTTTCGATGCGATCCCTTGGCGCGCAGCATGCAATTCATTCAGTACTTGCTTTCATAGTGATTTTGGGATAACGATGCGGTCTCCCCTAAACACGAGGCCCTCGTGTGTTGTTAATTCGTCTCGTAGATAGAAGTACGGGGTGATTGTTGGAAATAGATATTTGGAGCTTTGGGGCCATCCGGACTGGATGAATGATTTGACTTGCTGTAGGTCTTGATCTTTCGTTGTGTGATCTTGGAATATGGTTGTTATTTCACAATTTAGTATTTCGTTGATTTCTTCCAAACTGGCCACTTTGTCGAGATCGCTGTCGACACTGCGTGCTTCGTCAGTGGAGTTGTCTAAATGGTGACGACTGAGTGTGTCAACTAGCAGCATCACTGATCCTTTCTTATAAACGATGGTTAAGTCATATTGGTGTAATCTCATCATCATCTTTTGAAGACGTCTAGGTGCTGCAGACAGAGGTTTCTGATGAATGACTTCGAGCGGCTTGTGGTCTGATTCTACTGTGACTGGTCGGCCATATGTGTACTGGTGAAAACGCTCGGTTCCGTAAACTATAGCTAACAGTTCCTTTTCCATCTGAGCGTATTGTTTCTCTGCGTGCGTCAATACTCGGCTTGCAGGCTTTCCCTCCTGAATGAGTGCGGCCCCCAGGCCGTGGTCGCTAGCGTCACACTGTATTATCAGGAGTTTGGACGAGTCGTAGTACTTGAGGACTTGCGGTTCTGCGATCAATTTCTTTATTTGGGTGAAAGCGGCGTCGTGCGATTTGTCCCAATCGAAAGGCTGATTCTTTTTTTGTGAGTTTTGTAGTGGTTCAGATACTTGTGAGAAGTGGGGAAGGAACTTGGCGAGATAATTTAACTGTTCCGAGGATTCTCCTGACTTCAGCCACGTCTGTAGGTTGCTTCATTTCTAGTATGGCTTGTACTTTAGCAGGATCTGCTTGGGCACCGTCAGAGGTAAGAATGTGGCCAATGTATGGCATTGAGGTCTTCTTCAACTCAATCTTGTTTCGGTTAAGCTTGATATGTTTAGCTCTGCAGCGGTCGAATAGTTCCTTGAGCTTTCTGTCATGGTCGGCTACAGCTTCCTGCATCGTCTCTCCATTTCCTCTTACTAAACTGTCATCAGCAAACTCTCTCGTGCAGGGGGGATCCTGAAAGGCATTCGTTGCCATTTAAATCGTCCAAATGGAGTGTTGAACGTCGTTAAAAGAGACGATTCTTCGAATTCTACTTGCAAATATCCGTTGTTGCAGTCGACTTTGGTAAAGACATTTGCATTGGACAGTTCTGGAAGTACGTCGTCAATTGTTGGTATTGGATGGTGGCATCGTTTCAGCGCCTTTTTGAGTGGTCTGGGATCGAGGCATAATCTAATTTTGCCATTGGGTTTTGGTGCAACAACAATTGCGCTGACCCAATCTGTTGGATAGTCTATTCTTTCTATGACCTCAAGCTTGAGAAGTTCGTCCAAATGTTCTCGCAACGGTTGCTTCAGCGACTCTGGGATTTTTCTTGGTGGGAGTTGGACAGGCGACATTTCAGGGTCAACTTTAAGATGCAGTGCTGGGCCTAAGGTGCCAAGACCTTCAAAAACATCTTGGTATGTGTCTTTGACGTTTTGCATTGTTATTCCCATTTGATCAGGCCGAGTTAGGTCTTCATTAATTTGATCGATATGAATTGGGCTCCCAATTTGAATCAAATTCATTTGTTGCACGGTGCGGCAACCGAGAAGGTTACTTTTTGCATTCTGGTCATCAACAACACTGAATGGTACTTTGAACTTTTGCTTTGTAGTTGGGTCTTGTTCTTGTATTTTGCACTTTCCAAGGGGTGTGAATGATGAGTTGTTGTACATCTTTAGAATATGTGCCGAAGCTTTGATGCGCCGTTCATATTTAGTGCCTTTTAATTCACTCCTTTTTAGGACATTGCAGGTTGCCCCTGTATCGATTTGAAATTTGGTTGTGTTCGCCCTTTTATTTTCATGGTGGCAAAAATCCGTGATTTGTAAAGGTCCGGTTGGTGTATTGTATTGATGGTATCATTCTCGGTGGGGTCTAGTTCGAGAGTCATAAGGGAGTCGCCTGAAAAACTTGAGTCGTTTTCAGTTACTGCGTGAAGAGGCTTTTGGCGGGAATATCTTCCTTTCTGCATACAAACTTTGGCGAAGTGATTTTCGCGACCACAATTCCGGCAGCGGCTTCCAAATGCAGGACATAATTCCTTTGTTGGTTGGTGCATTGTTCCACAATATTTGCATTTAATTTTGTTGTCACGCCCACCGTCACCCCTATCAAGTCCGAAACGCCTGTCTTCGCGTCTTCCTGTTCCTGCGCTTCCGGTTCCTGTGCGTCTGATATCGGTTTTGTTGTTTACAATGGCCTTGATTTCGCCCTCATTTGCTTCACTGTTCGCATGGATTTTCTTGACTTGTTTCTTCGTGGTCTCGCTACTGCGACAGATGTCAAGGTGAGTTTTCGATCTTACAATAGCTTTTTTGAGTTGCATTATCGTTGATTCCTATGACCAGCAGACCCGTAGCTGGGGGGGGGGGGGGG